TCAGCAGGAGTCTCTTCCATTTAGCAGGAATATTATTCTAGAAAATATAGGGATTTTCTGTTCTATTTTTACAAAATAGACATGACTCATTTTTTCCACTGGTATTGTCTGCTATTTTCTCTAACAGAGTCCACAAGTTCGTACTTCTCCAAAGGTAGCTGCTAAGGAACAGGAGAGAAGACGTAGCCAATGTGACTAACCCGACTAAGAAATATTTGACTAAGTCCTTGGCCCAGAATGACTCTCTTCTGTCAAGATCATTAGGGCTGTAACAACTATAACACTGATGACATCTCAGGTGCTAAATAAGGAAGAAATCAAAGCCTGTTTTGGACTTTTTGTCCACTTGACTATCAGGCATCTTTGGCCAAAGGAAATCTTTTTTATCCTTTACACTCTATTTGCTGCAATAGAATTACTGTGGTTTAAATGCAGGTGATTGCTTTAAAACCCACCTGTGAGAGGATGCTGCATTTTGATTCATATAAATAACCTAACAAATCAAATCTAGAGCAAAGTTTAGCAGTAGCAGATAACCTACCATGAATTTTTCAAGCATAAAGCAGAATTATTTGTAGGTTTGGTAAGCTTCTAATGAGCTACAGCACACATCTAAAGGGAGAAAAGTGCAATCATCCTCTGCAGTGCAGAGCTGGATATTTGTTGTCAGTTAAATTGACTTGTTAAATGTGGTAAGATAAAAGGACCTTTCTGTAGTGCAATCAGAATCACTAATTCCTGCTGTGACTTTACAAGGACTGGTAGCAAGAAATAAAACAGAGCAGCAGAAATAGATCAGAGGCTTTCAAATGAAGTGCCACGGTTCTTGAATGTCATCAGAAGCTGCTATAAGCAAATCCTGAATGTCCTAGAATTGTATCTCTGGTTTCTTCAGCAGGTCAGAGAGAGCAAATGCAAGAGAGATGACTCATGCTGATATTCTAGACTAGAAACTCTGTGCTGGCTGAGACGTTGTGCTGCAGGAAGTTTCCTCAGCAGCAGTGAACTGCAGAGTCCTTTCAGTGTCAAGCTGTTTTCAGTATAAAATCGTGTGACATTTTACACAGATCTCATTGTACCCGTCTCAAACAGCACTATACATACAAGACTGATCCTACTAGAGAAAGATCAGTTAGGAGACGTTTCCAAGCATATATTTTGCATAGTTAATAAAAAAACAGTTGGAGAAACAGAACAAGACTTATCTTGTAGATTCATAGTTTTTGGTAAGATCCACTGTGTCACTATTGCAGCTTAACACGGCACACTCCATTACTGCCATCAGCTACCAGCACCCACAGGTTGCTGCACAAGCCATGTAATGAGAAAATGCTAATTCTTTTCTTTAATACATTCCTAATTTCACCTGATGAGGTTTTAGTTTGGTGGTTTGGTTGGGTGTTTTTTTTTAAGCTAAAGGTAAAAACAAGTAATTGGAACTGGCTGATCTTTTCAGTGATATCAGGACCAGCCTGACTCACCTTCCACTGCAGTCGGTGGTAAATTATCATTAATTTTGACTAGGAGAGAGTCTGAGAGTTTCTCATGCTCTCTCTCAGTCCATTCAGTTTATCCTATCCATTCAGGGTCTGCAATTTCGTGGTTCTTTTCTCCTGTCAAACTTGGCAATGAAAGCTTTTTAATCAGAACAAAACATTAATGATTAATAACTTAACAGTATGATCAACTCAAACCCCATAGCCAAAACTGGCTATATGTGGACTCAGAAGCATTATTCATTAAAAGGTGCACCACCACACAAAGAACCTGTTAAAGTTGAACTCCATGAAGTATGCAACAATTTGAAAAGGTGGAATTTCACAGCATGAAAGAACAAGAGAGATTGATGCTCTAGAAGCTCCGGTCCCAACTCTCTAATTTACTGTACGGCATCACAAAGCCAATGAGAATCACACATATAGAAATATATATTATGTATAGCATTGGAGTACTAGCTCAGACAAACTGCCTTCTGAATTTCAGGTTAAAAAATAACGTTGTGTTTTCATTTCAGTCAGGTTGAGTCCTGCACATCATAAAGATAAGGGAAGGTGTTTTGACACAAGTCAGAACACTGGGTTAAAAGTAACTCTATTAAAAGCACCACATTCGTATAATAAAAATGAGGCCTTTTTTAAAATCTTGCTTTTCTGGACAGAATATTTTTACATAGCAGTATGCATTACAATCTTTTTTTTGTAATTCATAAATTAATTGCAACTCAATGCAGCAGAAACTCAGAATATTATGCTACTCACTGATACATCACCTAAAGACACCGTGTTTGCAAGAGGAAAGGAAATGAGCTTTGACTTTATGACCTTGCCCAGATGAGGATTTCCTTTCTCTTCCTAAATAAAAGCTAATTTTACTGTACAGTCAGATACTACATTGTTTTACTTTTCCAAATAAAGCTATTCTAGTGATTTTATTTCCCTTTTCTAGTCCATTTAATTCCTATCTTTTAATACATGTCCTTAAAAAAAATTATGTTTTCTTTATCATGAGGAAGATGTAGAATGATTCAGCAACTTAGAGATCCCATATAGCTTTAATATCCAGATGTAATTCTTTATTATCCAAATACAACAGGCAGTTTAAGAGCTACCACTGAAATTGAACTTCTCATTAAAAATCTGGTGTCTAACAAATCGCCTATCGACGTGTCAGTAGTGACCCAAGCCCCCTGGCCGGTCCAGAAACACACCTGGCAGCACAGTTTGTACAGGTACCCTGCGATCCAGAAGTAGCTGCTACAACCAGATTAAGATATCAGGCCTGTGCATTTTTGCTAAAACACTCTTGACTGCGATTCAAAAGTGGATTCATGGCAATTCCAAGCCAAACTCACCTGAAAGTTGAAAAATGCAGACCAGCGTTCAAGGACTCTGAGCAAGCTAATTGAGCACTGAATTTTCATATTTTGACGTGTCAGGGGAAAAAAAATTATTCTCTGGAGCAGTAACGCTTGGGGTAGGAGTATTTAATTGACCTTGCAATGTGCAACCAGTGTAGAGAACGTTATTAGGGATTATGCCAACACAATGAATAAACATCACTGTAAAACACATTTCTAGGAAGCCACTGATGGTGAAATCCATTAACAACCATGCATGATAAAGGGGAAAAAACATATTCTCAGTATAAACTAATTCGGGAACAGGGGGGGAAATATCATTTTCCCCAGTATGATTACACAAGACACCCCCCTCCTCTGTACTCCTCTCCTTAATTCGTGCATGAGCTGCTGGAGAACTAAAGGAGAGCTTGCTTCTCCTAACACATAGGTGGATGTGGAACCAGCGGGTAAGGAATTTCTGCATAAATGTAAAGAATATAGAACTTTTCTTCTGTGAACTCACAGAAATAGTAGCCAGTTATAAAGGGGTGGTAATGTGCTCTAGTATAGGTTTCATGGAGATCAGACTGGGGAGCAAGCTCACAGTTCACAGAGTTCAACATTCACAGTCATCCAATTAGAGAACAAGTAAATACATCCAATTTTGTTGATGTTGAACAGTTACAATCACAGAATCACACAGAATCACAGAATATGAGGAGTTGGAAGGGACCTGGAAAGCTCCCCCAGTGCAACCCCTGCCAGAGCAGGATCACCAGAGCAGTCACACAGGAACACGGCCAGGGCTTTGGGTGTCTGCAGACAAGGAGACTCCACAACCTCTCTGGGCAGCCTGGGCCATGCTCCATAACCCTCACACTCACAAAGTTTGTCCTCATCTTCAGCTTGAACCTCCTGTGCTCCAGCTTGGGACCATTGCCCCTTGTCCTGGCATTGGCCATCCCAGAGCAGAGCCTGGCTCCTTCCTCCTGACACTGCCCTTTCCCAATGGATCCCCAGGAATGAGGGCACCCCTCAGGCTCCTCTGCTCCAAGCTCAAGAGCCCCAGCTCCCTCAGCCGCTCCTCAGCAGGAGATGCTCCACTCCCTCCAGCATCTTTGTCATCCCCACAATCTTCCCTTATTCGTTAAGTCCGTGTGTCTGTGCTGGTGCAGAACTTTAGTAATTTGCTTCATCTTAACCCCAGTAAAGGACTTATTGATATTTACGTAGAAATAACTTTCCAAATGCACACTTGCAAACAGATTTTTTTTTTGGGGGGGGGGGCATGTGCAAAGAAATTTTGACAAAATCACCAACTTCTTGATTTCTGGCTGCAAACACACATAATGACAACCAGAACAGAAGATTCCAAATGAAAAGGGTTTTTTTTTCTTTTACTGAGGCACTTTATATAGACCTTTGCAATTGCTAGGTACTTTTGTGGCAACAGTACTCGTGAATCTGTAACTGATTCCCACTCAAATGCAAAATATATACCAGAAATTTCTGAGTGCTTCTGACAGAAAATACCACACACCTTCTTTCACTATCCATTTCTCTTGATGTATTGAGAAGCCAAGTGTGCTAACCTACTAATTATTATTTCAGGTCAAACCACTAATAATTCAGTGGGTGAGATATCTATACAGGTGGATGTCTCTACACATCCTGGAACTGGTGAACATAAAGTCACTGTAAAAGGTAAGTTACAGGTAGCTAATTTTACAAAGAAAGCAACAACAAAGTCCAAACACCCTAAGCACTACATCTTAAGTAAAACACACCAATAATGAGATAACAAATGTATTTCAAGTACTTATAGAGCTTGTAAACAAGCATTACAGAACTTGTAAAGCTATGAGTGTGCCTTAGGTGATCAGGATCATACTTTTTCCTTGCTCAACATCAGCAGAAGTGAAGATAATTCAGCTGAGTATTTTCTGTGCTTCTATGTGTAGGCAGTTAAAATTTATTATACAAAACTATGAAGTTATAAATTCGTATGTGCCGCATTGCACTTCTGAATTGCTTGAATATAATTTTCGAAAAGCTGTAGCAAAGCTCCATGGTGAATGACTGTACCAAGACTTAAAATGTTCCATTTTTAACAAAACAACCCTGAATTCCAGAGGAAACCCAGTATCAGGTAGATTAGTATAAGCTGGGTTGTAATGGTAGTGAAGGTAGCAGATAAAGGAGCTGTCAATATAAAGCATTGGTAAGATAATGTGCTGATATGTGGTACTATGGTAACTGAAAGTGGACGTCCCACAGAGAACAGGAAAAGCTCCTCCTAGGCCTACCAGGCATTGCTATCCTGCCAGGAAGGCTCTGAGGTCACCTTTTTTGGCAATACAAAGTCACACTGAAGAATTAATTGGAGCTCTTCAAATGCAATTTTGTTAACTTCATTTGGTTTCTTTCTTTGTAGTCGTAGCAATCAACAATCTAAACTGGCAAACAACAGCTATGTTCCGGCCATTTGTGGAAGTTTGCATGTTAGGTCCTAACCTAAGTGACAAGAAAAGAAAACACGGAACCAAGACAAAGAGCAACACCTGGTCACCGAAATACAATGAAACTTTCCAATTGTAAGTCCTTTTTCGTTTGTTAATTGCATATTTTATGCAAATTTTGTAAGAATTTCTTGCCGTTAAATCAGTAAGAACACAAAAAAACCCCCATCCTAAGGCTGCTATACACATCAGAGTCCATGGATGTAGAGACCACTACAAAACTATTTAGCATTTGTATCTTTATATTAAGATTAACGGTAACCACTAAGCTTTCAATCTTACAAAAGCTGGATAAAATGTACATTTTTCCTACACAAGCATAACTATTTATACACCTAGGACTCTATTTACCTCAGTGGTTTTCTGGATGGAAGCATTAATTATTACTGCTAGATATCTGCACCTTTGAGACTGCTGAGATATCTAAACGTATAAAGTGGTGTGCATGTGTTAATGATGACATGATCTCTATTTATTTAATCCTTAAAGCAATAAAGAACTTTCACCTAACAAAGAGTTTTAAATTTAGTCTTTCTCACAGCACCTCTCGCCTGTTTACCCCCCACCTCCCCTTTTGTAGCTGAGGCCAATTCAATTTTCCTGCCCTCAACCCCCACCCCAATTAGGACTGAGTTCACATTCTCAAGGTCTGACCACAAAGCTGCTTTGGAGGTTTGCTGCCAGCGATGTGCTTTATTATTTGCAGTTGATTTAAAGATGTGGTCATGATAGTTGTGGAATTAGTTGAAATGTTAGGTCCTTTCTAGGCAAAGGTAATGGTGTTTATTTCAGATATTGAGGGAATGATGCATTTTCTGTTCTCTTCGGGTCAGTGGGAACAGAGGCTACATCATCAGTAGCATCTGAAAGGATTAACTGTGCAGGAGGTTTCAAACTAAGTTATATTCTGTTGCAACAAAATGGAAGTATGAACATTAAACTACCAGCATCGCTTTAATTTTCACACGATTTCTAAAGTACCTTCATTCCTTAGGGGAATTAAACTGTTAACTCCTCATTCTAAATTCATACTTTTAATCCGTGCAGCCTTTTGAGTAACGAAGATAAGCCAGGAGCCTACGAACTTCACCTCTCAGTGAAAGACTACTGCTTCGCTAGGGAAGATCGCATTATAGGGATGACAGTTATCCAGCTGCAAAACATAGCAGAGAAAGGCAGCTGTGCATCTTGGTACCCCCTGCTGAGAAACATCTCTGTCGATGAAACCGGCTTAACAATCCTTAGAATACTTTCTCAGAGGACCAATGATGAAGTTGCTAAAGAATTTGTGAGGCTGAAATCAGAAACAAGATCTGCTGAGGAAATGGCCTAAAACACCCAAGTAACGCAAGATTGTCTCCGCCAAGAACATAGATACAACGCTGTTGTCCGAATAGTGCATGCATGTGCAAATCCGTGGGAATGTTTAACTCACTATGTTTTCAGTGTTTGCCAGTACTCACGTACTCTGTTCGCAAGGTATGTCAAGGAGCTGTATATATTTTATACATATTTTGGTCTTTGGTAAAGTAATTGTTCCAATGAAGTGCCAAAACTAAGATTAAGAGTAAATGTTTCATCATATCTTTTTAAATGTTGATTTCACCTCATCACAGTTCTTTTCTTTTTTAACATGTGTCAATGAATATTTAGCTTTTTTAATTGATTTATAGACTGTCTCTGTCAAAACACTGTGTTGCTTATTCTGAATTAAGTTACCTCCCTTCCTATTATTTTTAAATAGATATACCTAGTTTTCTTCAAACTATCATTTTATGCAAGCCTCATTTTAGGTATCTTACCGATAACTTTTTCTATCATTACTACAGATGCAGTTACTTATAGAAAGTGTTTGTAATTTTATAATTACCAATATAAAGTAATGATTTTTGCATTAAAAAAAACGAAAAAGGATGGAAATATTTTATGCTAATCTTTTTTCCAACCTTTCATAAATATCACTGTGAAGAAATGCTGTTAAAACAAGTTCTCAAGAAGCTGTGCTTATCAGAGTTTGTTACCGATGTTTGATATCTTGAGATAACTTTGTTCTTCAAAACTGCCAAGGTAGCACCACATTTGTATTAAAAGAGTCGAGTCAGTATCTGTAGAAAAAGACTGCCATACAGTACAGTATATGCGCTTTTAAAAACAATAATTTTTTAAATGATATGGTACTGTATAAGGCTTAGTAGATTGGAATATGTGATGGCGGTTTGTGGTTTGTTTCTAGAAATTGTTTATGAAAAGAAAAGATGCTGATAGCATTTTCACTCAGAGTTGATAACGTTGCTTTACATACTTAGCTGTAACATCAGTTAAGTGCTTTATTTCTTTATTTTTTTTAGAAAAGTTCGACGGTTTGTACTTATGCAACATTACTATGTATTGCACTAAAGCAAACTCCATGTCCTGTAAATATATTTAGTGAGAAATTGTAAAATAAAGTATGAAGAAACTGCTTTCTAGTTTTGTCATTGGATATTATTTTGCTCCTCAGTTCAAGAAGGACAGGAACTGCTGGAGAGAGTCCAGTGTAGGGCTACAAAGATGATGGAGGGAGTGGAGCATCTCCCTTATGAGGAGCGGCTGAGGGAGCTGGGGCTCTTTAGTTTGCAGAAGAGCAGACTGAGGGGAGACCTCATTCATGTTTATAAATATATAAAGGGTGAGTGTCACGAGGATGGAGCCAGGCTCTTCTCGGTGACAAACAACGATAAGACAAGGGGTAATGGGCACAAACTGGAACACAGGAGGTTCCACTGAAATTGGAGAAGAAACTTCTTCTCAGTGAGGGTGACAGAGCACTGGCCCAGGCTGCCCAGAGAGGTTGTGGAGTCTCCTTCTCTGCAGACATTCAAAACCCGCCTGGACGCCTTCCTGTGTAACCTCATCTGGGTGTTCCTGCTCCGGCAGGGGGATTGGACTGGATGAGCTTTGGAGGTCCCTTCCAATCCCTAACGGTCTGGGATTCTGGGATTTTTGCACCTATAGGTTTTATGTGCACGTGAAGCCCGTGCTTACAACAGAGCTTTAGATGATAGCAGGGAGGGATGGGACCCAAATTATCTTATGTCCTGCTGCAGAACCCATTACGGCAGAGGGAAATTTTGATTTTAAACCGTCACTTCAGAATGCCATTTCTCCATGTGAAAAGTCACACTGACAATTTCTCAGTTCAAAAAGTCGGTCATTAATTTAGACATTGACTCCTTAAACAATTCCGAGAATGTATCTTCACTTTAATAATACTTACTAAGTATAGGTTGCATGTGATTGCAAATATTTGCAAAACTCTCCCACAGATTCAGAGAGACAAAATCAATCTTGCAACTAATCCAAGCCGTCAGCGTCTCAGATGTATTTTGTGTGTTGTGGAACACTTAAAAGTAAAATCCAGGTGTAGCTCCAGTAACTTCAACAAAATTAAAGAGGATTTTATCTGAGTCTGTGTAATACTTTCTCCCGAGAAATTTCTGCTTGTATGTGCCAGTCATAGTGCTTCCTAACTGTATTTCTGCAAATATAGCCCAAAGGGTTTACAGTGGATGACATTTAAAACACGGACTCTATTAACAGTTAACAAGGCTTAATGTCAAAAAACATCAGCAGACTCAGTCTCAAATAAAAAAGGGAATAATCAAGAGATGAGGTAGTTCCAGCAATATATTTAACATTATCGTGGATAAAACGCAACGAGAACTCCACAATAAATCATTTGAGGCTCTGTGAATCGAAACAGAAAGGGTGGAGTAGACAGATTCTGGTTTTTAACCTGGAGCACTTTTATCGTGGTTTTTCTTTAGCCTTTTTATTCTAGTGTAAAACAGCACACATTTTGGTGCATAATGTATTTACCATGCAGTTAACTGTTCATCCCTGAGACTCACCTATAAAGAAATCATAACTGAACTTTCCAAGAGAGCCAATACTGCTCTTCGTGGTCTCCCTCAGTTGCACACACTCAGGCAATCTGGTAGAGCAGACCCTCATAATCTACAGCTTTAAACAGTACACGTTCATGGTCTGCTATTTTTAACAGAGAAATATTTACTTTCTGCATCAAAATTTGTCATGTGGAAGATGAGAGGACAAATATGTTAACTACATCAGAGGGCTGTTTTAAACGCTGTCATGAACCAAAATGCAAGTATATGCGATGGTGTAGTGCCAGCAGGTCAAACTCAAATAGTTCATGCAGTAAATGTGATTGATATGGAAAAGGTTTCAGTGCTATTTCAAAAGCTGTTATATTCTCTTTTAGGGAAGTAAATATTCCGTTAACAACAAAAATTTCTGAGGAAATTTTCTTACTTGAACTGAGCTAAGCTTAGCAAACATACAGCTGCTCCTCCTGCTTCACTTCTCAGTGACAACCAATGTACCCAAAGTTCTAGTTGGAATTCCAGTTGTATTGGTTTGTTAGGAGAGTGACTATAAATGTATAAATATAGACTTGGGAAGATAAAGGAGAAAAAAGACTCAGGAGAAGAGCAGGATTATGTGAGGTGATCATCCCCCTGTACTCGGCACTGGTGAGGCCGCACCTTGAGTGCTGTGTTCAGTTCTGGGCCCCTCACTACAAGAAGGATGTTGAGATTCTGGAGCGTGTTCAGAGAAGAGCCACAAGGATGGGGAGGGCTCTGGAGAACAAGCCTGATGAGGAGCGGCTGAGGGAACTGGGCTTGTTTAGCCTGGAGAAGAGAAGGCTGAGGGGAGACCTCATCCCCACCTACAACTGCCTCAAGGGAGCTTGTAGAGAGGTGGGTGCTGGGCTCTTCTCCCAGGTGATGGGGGATAGAACAAGGGGAAACGGCACCAAGCTGTGCCAAGGGAGGTTCAGGTTAGAGATAAGGAGGAAGTTCTTTCCTGAGAGGGTCGTCAGAAGCTGGAACAGGCTGCCCAGGGAGGTGGTGGAGTCACCATCCCTGGATGTGTTTAAAGAGCGGGTAGACGAGGTACTTAGGGATATGGTTTAGGGGGTAGACAGGAGCGGTTGGACGTGATGATCTCAGAGGGCTTTTCCAACCGAGCCATTCTGTGATTCTGTGATTTTTTTTTTTAATTAATTCTTCTAGGAACAGTTACTACAGTGCACCTGGAAAACACAAATACATTTAGAGGAGCTTGCGATATGACAGCACCTCAAATTAACTGACAATTTTATATCAATCTGTTCGATAAGGGTTAAGAGATTTTTGTCCTTTTTATTTTGTTTTCTAAGATGGAAATGTAATAATCATCATAAAATAATAATAAAAAGGTATCACAGGGAACTGAATTTAATTTTCCTCGACCATTGTTCTTTCCAGGAGAGGACTCTGTTCTCAGGGAAGTCAACGGGAGCTTTGTCCAAGGGCTGCTCTTCAGTAATTTCATTCAAACTGAGCAATTTCACCTGAATTACTGCAACCGCTCAGGATATGGTTTTCCAGCTCACAGGTTGAATGGAATTTTTAAACTCATTAACAGGGAACTGAATTTAATTTTCCTCGACCATTGTTCTTTCCAGGAGAGGACTCTGTTCTCAGGGAAGTCAACGGGAGCTTTGTCCAAGGGCTGCTCTTCAGTAATTTCATTCAAACTGAGCAATTTCACCTGAATTACTGCAACCGCTCAGGATATGGTTTTCCAGCTCACAGGTTGAATGGAATTTTTAAACTCATTAAAAATTAAGACAGGCTTAATCAGAAATATGCA